GACGCCCGCCAGGGCCACCCACGTCAGCGTCACCAACGCCACCTGCATCCTGGGGGGACAAGAAGGACCCAGGTGTCCGGGGCATTACTCCTGGGCCAGGCCAAGGTGGGGGAACCCTGACACCCCAGGTCAATGCAGGACCCCACTCCACCACCAATGAGCTCCAGGGGACCCAGGTGTCCGGGGTGAACCCCATGGAGCTAGGTGGCACCTGGTATCCTGGGTCACTGCAGGCTTCCCCTCCCCCCACCAAAGGGGACCCAGGCGTCCTGGCACCCAGCATCTCCAATAGCCCCAGGTGCTGATGCGTCCTGCATGGACCTGGGGATGGTCCTGCCACCCCAATGTCACCCCAGGGCCAGGTTGCTGCTCCCTGCTGGTGTCACCCCAGTGTCGCCCCCGGTGTCAGGCCTAGTGTCACCCCGGTGCTGAATCCCCACTGGTGTCACCCCGGTGCCAGGTCACCGCTCCCTGCTCATATCAGACCCGGTGTCAGCCCGGTGCCGGTGTCCCAGTGTCACCTCCATGCCAGCACCCTCTCCAGTGCCCGGTGCCCGTTACCTGTTGCTGTTGGTGATGGTCTCAGTCTTGGTGGTGGTGCCGGTGCTCCGGTGTCTGTCTCAGTCCTGGTGCCCCGGTGTCAGTGCCGGTGTCAGCCCTGGTGAGCTGGTGAGCTGGTGCCGGTGTTGGTGTCCTGGTGTTGGTCTCAGTCCCGGTGCCCTGGTTTTGGTATTGGTGCTGGTGCCCTGATGTTGGTGTCAATCCTGGTGCCCCGGTGTCACCTTCAGTGCCCCGGTCTCAGTGCCGGTGTCAGTGCCCCGGTGTTGCTCTCGGTGCTGGTGTTGGTGTTGGTGCCCCAGTGTCGGAGCCGGTGTCGGTGTCACTCTCGGTGCCCCGGTGTCGGAGCCAGTGTCGGTGCCCTGGTGTCACTCTTGGTGCCGGTGTCACTCTTGGTGCCCCGGTGTCGGTGCCCCGGTGCTGGTGTCGCTCTCAGTGCCGGTGCCCCGGTGTCACTCTCAGTGCCCCGGTGTTGGTGCCGGTGTCGGTTCCCCGGTGTCACTCTGGGTGTCGGTGCCCCGGTGCCTGTGTCGCTCTGTCTCGGTGCCGCTGCTGCCGGCTCTGCGGGGCGGCCCCGGTCCCGGCGGCGCCTATAAAGGGTGGAGC